TTTTTTTTTTTTTTTTTTTTGGAGACAGAGTGTCACTCTATCATCTAGGCTGCATGATTACAGCTCATTGCAGCCTCGACCTCCCAGGCTCTGGTGATCCTTCCACCTCAGCCTCCCAAGTAGCTGAGACTACGGGCGCATGCCACCACACCCAACTAATTTTGTATTTTTTTTTTGTAGAGACAGGGTCTCACCATGTTGCCTGGGCTCAAACTCCTGGGCTCAAGTGATCCTTCTGCTTCAGCCTCCCAAATGTTGGGATTACAGGCATGAGCCACCATACCCAACCACAAAGTTAAGAGTTTTTTTGGCCGGGCGTGGTGGCTCACGCCTGTAATCCCAGCACTTTGGGAGGTCGAGGCATGAACCCGGGAGGCAGAGCTTGCAGTGAGCCGAGATCGCGCCACTGCACTCCAGTCTGGGAGACACAGCGAGACTCCGTCTCAAAAAAAAAAGAGTTTGTTTTTCTTTTTTCTTGAGATGGAGTCTCGCTCTGTCACCCAATCTGGAGTGCAGTGGGGCGATCTCAGTTCATTGCAACCTCCACCTCCCGGGTTCAAGTGATTCTCCTGCCTCAGCCTCCTGAGTAGCTGGAACTACAGGCGCCCACCACCACGCCCGGCTGATTTTTTGTATTTTTAGTAGAGACGGGGTTTCACCGTGTTAGCCCGGATGGCCTTGATCTCCTGAACTCGTGATCCACCCGACTCGCCTCTCAAAGTGCTGGGATTACAGGCGTGAGCCACCGCGCCCGGTCTTCAAAAGAATTTAATGTCACAATAAGAATCATCTAAAAGTTACCTTTAAGGATGGGCGCAGTGACTCAACGGCTATAATACCAGCACTTTGGGAGGCTGAGACGGGCAGATCACCTGAGGTCAAGAGTTCGAGACCAGTTTGGCCAACATGGTGAAACCTCGGGTTTAATAAAGTACAAAAATTAATGAGGCATGGTGGTAGGCACCTATAATCCCAGCTACTCTGGAGGCTGAGGCAGGAGAGTTGCTTGAACCTGGGAGGTGGAGGTTGCAGTGAGCCGAGATGGCACATTGCACTCCAGCCTGAGCGACAAGAGTGAAACTTCATCTCAAAAATAAATAAATAAATAAAACCTTTACACTTTCAATTATCTTCCATTCCATTTTAAAAGCCACACGAGAATATTGAATATGGTTGAATAATTGAGACATGATATGATCAGCATTTGAAAATAGGTTAATCTTACGAACTGTGACCTACTATTTTGTTTCTGAAAGCCTAGTAACCAAGCCTTCTGCAGTTACATTTGCACCTTTTGCGTATGGTAACACATGCCTGTGTGCATTGCCTGGGTAGTAACACGTGCATGTGTGCATTGCCTGTGTACATACTGCACAAAAAGTTACTCAGTTGTGTTTGGTTGTATTTTGGTCTGACCATGGTCTTAACGATGTGGCATGTGTATATATAGTAAGGGATGTTCTCGAAGCGTGACTGCATCCCGTGATAGCACACAAGGAGGGACACTTAGCGAGTAGAGGGGGCTCAGCTGTGTCCCTGTGTGTGGAACCATGAGGGGAGGATGTGTTAGGGTGCCCATGGAGTAGTGGGTGATGCAACATAGCCACTTGACATCTAGTCCTGGCCCCTCAGTATTTCCTCATCCTGCTTGGGAGCCGCTTCTGCCTCAGACTTGCGGCCACTCCAGTGCTTTTGGAAGGCCCCAAGGCTCTTGGGCCACTCTCATTGGCAAAGGGCATCCTAGGCAGTGACCCTCAACCTTCTGTTACATGTATGAGTGGATTGGTGTGTGTCCTAACTCCCTGGTGATGATACATCTCTGACAGATGAGTGCACATTACTGTAGAACTTGGACTTGTTACTTACCTGTCAGTACTGTGGTTTAGGGTTCTGTTGGCTGAGTGGAATGGCTCACTTCCTCTCCTGCTGTATTTTACCCCTCAACAAAACTATGAATCTCCTGGTAACGGGATTCCAGGGAGACATGGACCACGTGTCATTAGGTTCTGCAAGATGGAGGTTTTCTTGGCTGGGCATGGTGGCATGTACCTGTAATCCCAGCATGTTGGAAGGCCAAGATGGGTGGATCACTTGAGGCCAGGAGTTTGAGCTATGATGGCACCACTGCACTCCACCCTGGGCAACAGAGCAACACCCTGTCTCTAATAAAAATTAAAAATTGTAATTTATTTAAAAAACTTTTCTTTATTGTGGATATTTCATGTCGTAAGAGAAAAAATGGAATTGTAAGGGTTTGTAAACAGACAATCCTGGGTTGATTTGCAATGCTACTTTTACAAATCTTCGGTTCTACAAGGGAAAGTCTGGTGAATTGCCCATTTTCATAAAAGCTGTGATAGAAATGTGTGGATGCCCTAAGTTAGGCCAGGTGGCTTTGCAACTTCTAGTGGTAATTTGTAACTTTATATCCTTTTTTTCTTTTCTGAATTTTGATCCCCAGAGCATCTCGTTCCCCGAGGGATTGAGGACTCCTGGCTCCCCATCTTCAGCGAATGCCTCCTTTTACTCACTCTCTCCCTCCACTCTGGTGCCCCCTGGCCTGCCAGAGTTTAAGGACAGCAGCAGCTCCCTCACAGAGCCCCAGGTTTCCTACATCAAGAGTCCAGCTGCAGAGGGGAGCAGTGGAGCAGTGGCTGGAGGCCCTGACACACCATCGGCCCAGCCCATCGGGCCCCCCGCACTCCAGCCTGGTCCAGGTGTCGGGTTTTGTCATGTTGTGAGCAGCTGTGGTTCTGTCTGTGCTGGGGGGCAGAGTTTCGGTGCCTTAGACCTAGACACAGGGAGGGCCGGGAGGGAGCTCAGAGCTGCTTGTAAAAATGACAATGGTGGGGATGACTTTACCACAGGCTCATTTCCTTCCAGTGGGGAGCACCGGTGTGACCGGCAGTGCCGTGGGGGGGCCCCTGCTTTCACATTGACAAATGCCCAGCTGCAGGTGTCTGAGGAGTTCATAGACGATGACCCAGCAGACATCTCTTTCTTTGCTGGAGGTTCTGAGGCATTTTCTTTTCCTTATGGCTCTGTAGTTCCACAGGAACCTCAGGCCTCTGCCCAGCCTCTGGTGGCCCCTCCTTTGTGTGGGCTTCCAGGGTCTGCTCAGTCCAGCCCAGACAGGTACTCCACTGAGGCAGTAGACATGAACACAGAAGACGATTTTGCATTTGAGGAAGAAAGTGACTTCAGTGGGAGCGCACACCCCTCAGACACCTCGGAGCTGTTTGAGGTGAAGGCGCAGGCCAGCCGGATGCAGCGCCTGCTGGGTCCCTCTGAGACCAGCTCACTGAGGAACAGCCAGTCTGAAAACAGCTCCCTCAATAACATGCCGCTGCGTGGTGGGCTGTCTTTGCACACATGCAGCTCAGCCAATCAATCTGAGGCCAGCTCCATGGTCAACTTCCCAGCCTACTCAGTCCGCTCCGAGTCCAGCTCGGCCTTCCAGTTCTCTGACATCATCGACCAGTTAGAGCAGCTCAGCTACCCGCCCACGACGGCCGAGGACTCCAGCAGCACAGGGTCAGACTCGTGGGACTCTGAAACCGAGGCCCCCCTAGACATAAGCCTTTTCTTCAGCAACCCTTTTGCACAGACAAGTGGAGAAAGAGTCCCTTTTGATTTACAGAACAATTTAAAGAATTTAACTCCAGGAGAGCAAATAGATAAAAACCCATCTTGACCACTCTGGGTTGCTTTACAAGGCAGCCCACTCACCCACACTATGTAGTTTAGAGCTCAGAATTGTTTGGTTTAAACATAGAAAGTGACTTCCATTTCATGGCTACGTATTCAATTTTTTTTTTTAATTTCCTGATTTATTATACTTCTTTGAATGTCAAAAAATTTGACCTCCAGCCAGTCCTCCTAGAGAGCCAATAAATTGGTCTTTATAGCTTGGTTTTTGGCATATGCTTTGATTCAAGTAAAAACTGGTGCTATACATTCTGAATGTTACACAGTTCTGTTAATGTTGATCTTCAATAGAATATGTGTGTTGCACTATTGATGCTGCTTTTCAAGATGAGCCCTGCTGCCTATAATTAACTAGGACACAGGTTTTGTCTCAATTGTCCAGCCACTGTGCTACTCAGAACCTTGAGTATGCCTCTACAGCCCTAACCCTGGGAAAGATGGACATAGGCCATGGCCTCCTGTGTGCTGTGATCAAACTCCTGGGACTCTGAGACCGTAAAGGCCCCTGTGGACATTAGCCTTTTCTTCAGCAGCCCTTTTGCACAGACAAGTGGAGAAAAAAGAGTCCCACTGGGAGTCTGGGGAGACAGTCATCCACTGCACTGGGGTTGGGAGTGAGGGGGTGCCTGGAACTATCCCCGTGCCAAAGGCACCATGTCATGTTTTTTTTAATTTTTTTTTAAAGGTGTCAAAGGGCCACTGCCTCATCATTGACTTGAGACCCAGAAATAGTGCTATATGTAGATAGTGGTCTTGGAGAGGCATTGGTTTAAAATGGACTTATGTAAGTGTGAGCTGTTTTCTTTTCTTCGGCTTAATTGGGAATATAGAAGATATATGGTTGCAAAAAAAGCAGAACCAGACACACCATGGGCATCATTCTGTCCCAGGACAGTGGGAAGGGTCCCAAGGGCAGGTGGGCTGAGGTGGCCCTGCCCACCCATCCAGCGTACCTGTACACACACACCAGGTGCCATGGGCCCTGCTGGGTACCACATGCAGAGCTTCTCAGTCTTAACCACCATGAAAGTCAAGGCTGATGTTCGTGGCACAGAGTGGGTGGGTCCATCCAGGGACGTCATGGGGAAACCACTGCCATGCAGCTCAGCACCGACAAGCGCCGGGCTCAGGCCAGCCCTGGACGACACTGTTGAGTGTGTCAAGTCCACAGCTAGGGTTTGGGGTTTTTGTTGTCTTTGCTTTCTGATCTTACCTAGTAGTGCAATACCACATTTAACGTTTAATTCTCTTCCCAGAATGTCTTGTGGAAACTTCACATTTCATTCCTGTTCACATTGTGAGATCTCTCATCTCTGATGTTTTGCCTGGATGGATTTACTGTGATTGATTGCACAGGGACCACATGGCTCAGGTGTCTGAGCCATCGAGGGCATCTTGTAAGGGCTGGTTTTCCTTTGCTCATCAGTGTTGGCTGGATGCCAGCAGGGGTTTTGTGGCTAACCACATCAGGCAGTTTCCTGTTTTTGTAGCTTTGTTATACCTAAACCGCAGTCTCATCATTTTGCTTATGCAGCTAGAACTTTCATTCTGTCTAGTTGTTATTCATGCACCTGCCATCTTAGTGCTTTAGGGGCCACTGGGCACAACTTTCTACATTGGCAAATACCTGCAACAATGTTGTGACAGACAGAAGCGCAGCAGTGAACCTGAGGTCAGGACGGGACTGTTTGGGAGGTTCTGCTTTTCTTACTGTCTCACCAAAGATAAACCTTGTGTTTGTGTGGTGGGGAGAAATGAGCATAGATTACGTTTAAAACGTTTTCCTAAGCCTTCGTATTCATATGGCAGCTGATGGTTCCTCTCTCCTTCATCAGTGTTGCCTGACGACTGTCCTTGCTGATGCTGGGAACTAACAAAGTTGTCTTTTTGTTTTTAAGGGAACCCACCTGGCGTCCGGACGGCAGGTTAGGTTTGGGTGGTTTGGAGCTAGCACTGCTGTGGGGCAGGGGTGGCCGCTCCCTGGTGAAGCTAATGCTGCGGAAACTGGAATATTCCTTCCTAAGGAGTGGGATCGTGCCCCCGCCCCCCTGGCAGAGGTATCTCATCACTCCCTCGTGTGCGAGATTCTGAATAAATTTTGTTCTCAGGCATCTTCTACTAGGCCTCCTATAGAATAGATCCTGTTGTTTTTGGTTTGTGTTAATGGAACCTCACTTTCTAGAGATAATTTTTTAGTTTTTTATTTAGGAAGTTTTCAAAAGATACAAAGCAGGAATATAAGGAACCCACATCACCTCCAATTCAGTGTTACCCACACTTGACCATGCTTGCCCCAGCTGTGCCTTTCTTCTTTCCTTGGGTATTTTGTTGCTCTAAAGTATTTTATTATTACTTTTTTAGAGACAGGGTCTCACTCCTGTCACCCAGGCTGGAGTATGATGACGCAATCACATCCCACTGCAGCCTCTACCTCCTGGGCTCAAGCCATCCTCCCACCTCAGCCTCAGAGTAGCTGGGACTACAGGCACTCACCACTGCACCCAGCTCATTTTTAAAAAACTTTTGTGGAGACAGATTCTCTCCATGTTGCCCAGGATGGTCTTGAACTCCTGGGCCCAAGCAGTCCTCCTGTCTCAGCCTCCCGAAGTGCTGGAATTGCAAGCATGAGCCTGGGTGCAAAAAAAAAAAAAAAATCAATCAAGGCTTTCTTCCGAGTTCCTGCTCACAGCCCTCCTACCCCTTTCTCTTTCGAGTGGGTTGTAATGTCCACCCAGAGGGGTTTAGAAACGGAAGGGAAGGCAAGCGTGTAGGCACCATGGCTTTAGAACCATAAGGAAGACATTTCCCAGTACAGATTCTGTCTTTCCACTTGTAACAGTTAGTGAGGCACCGACATTGCTTTTTTCCACCTTAATAAGACAGTTTACAGTGGTTAAATAGCAGAACACCCAGAGCAGTTCAGCCTGAGGCCATAGTGCCCTGCGGCAGCACTGGGCCCTGCTTTTCTTTCTGCTTTGTGCTGCGTGGCTCTTCTTCACGCCAGTGTTGGGTAATGCACAGCCTGAGAGGTGTGGCCTGATAAACCCTGAAATTGAAAAAAGTAGCAGATTTGACCCAACACTCCTGGAAGTGTCTGGATACAGCTCACTGAGAGTGTGGAGGTGAAAGTGCCTGCAAAATGTTGACAGTACTCTCTCAATCTATTGATCTCCTCAGTTACATCCAGAACCTTAAAGCTGCACAGTTGTCATGCTCCGCCTGCAGTCTCAGGCAGGGCGCATCAGGGGCTGCACTGGTAGCTCCCAGGAGGACTTACCCGTGGGTCACCGTCATAGCCAGGTGTGTCCACTCAGAGGGGACACGATCCTGCAGCAATCCCCTCCAATGAGAGGCCACCAGCAGACAGTGCCTGTTGTACCCATGAAGTCCACCACTAATTATATACTCTGCTTTAGGTAGAATATTTATTTTTATTAGCTGTCAATCTGTTTTTGTATTTGTTTCCAAAAGTCCAGGTACTTTATGTAGGCCAGTGGATAAATATTTCAAGTCTAACAGTAGCACAGTTATATGTTAATACAACTGACTACATGAAAAATATGTAACAGCATATGCTATGTAATTTTTCAAATCACTAGGTCTTGATATGTGCCTTTTTTATATTACCAAGAGATTCTCTAAATATGGAATTATATTAGGATTCTCTGTTCCAGTTAACACACGTTTTTAAATTAGTACTGATGATTGAGGGATGGACAATAGCACACCAAAAAGAGTTGAGTATGAAAAACTTAAACCTGTTGGTTAAGTCATTCCCATTATTGTCATTTTGCTGAGGGTGACTTGGTCCTTTTGAATTGCTTTGGTGTACGGGTATGTTCTGATTTTTCATGCAAACTCCTTGGCCATTCCACCGCTCTGAGGGGTAATTGTAGCACTTCACATGTGCTGTGGTTGTGATCACATGGAGACATGTATAGCATGTGTGTTCCTAGCTGGTGTGTGTTTATGTGACATTTGATGCCAATACATATGTCTTCAAGGTACG